ATTAAAGGCAGTGTTTCTCACCCACGGAACCTTTAGGATTTGGGGATTTCAACCCCCAGAATCCCCCACCCAGCAGGGCTGGCTGGGGAATTCTGGGAGTTGAAGTCCACACATCTTAAAGTTGCCGAGGTTGAGAAACACTGCTTTAAATTAATGGGGGAGACTCAGTGGCTTTTGCTTCTTAACGGTTCAGGTATATTGAGGGCAAAGTGTCCCCTGCTGTGAACGTCCAGATGGTAGGAGATGAAAGGGCTCTTAATAAGCCTAAAATCAAATTTAGGAAATGTTAATGTAATGCATTTGCTCCTCCATGGCTCTGATCTGCAATAAATACAGCAGGAAGTTTGGATCAGCAAGCTGCAAGCTCTGTGGTAGAGGCATGTGATCATATTTTGCCCTGCTTTAGAGTCAGCGTGTCCTGTGCCCAGATTACTGTCTTTGTCATCATATAGCATGGAGCTGAGCTAAAGAACTCCTTTGGGGCCACATTTCTCTCTTCTGGTAGCTGTTCCAGGGTCCTTGCAATCTTTCATTTTACATCCCATCTATGCACTCAGGATCCAACATAGCCTCCATTATTCTCTTAATGTTAAGCAGTAGTGAGACTTGCCGTTCCTTAATTACCCAGATGATCTTTCAGTTGTGCGGGCCAGCCTTTCCCCGGAGTCTTTTGTTCACTGTGGGATAATATCACCATGTCTGTTGCCCAACTTAATTACTGCTTGTTCAGAAGTTGGCTAAAAAGACCCTTTATATTTCTACTAATTTCCATTCTTGAAATTGCAGTCGCTCAGATTCCTCCGACCATATATTACTTCTGCACATCCAGTAATGAATCAAAAGGAAGACCTCCTTGCTGAAGGCATCCTTCAGAAGGACACCCCAGGCTACTGAAATACAAATTCCCTTTTTAAAAAATCAAACATAGTCAGCAAGAGAACACTAGTTCTTCATTAAACAATTAATGGGATAATTGCATAGGTCAGCTGTGGAGTTCAATCCACTTGAAGAGAATATAACAATGAAACACCCATTTTTTAGTTTGGAATGGTCGGTTTCAGGGTTTGGACCACTACCAGAACATGTGGAATCACCCATTTTAACGTTGGAATGATCTGTTTTGGAGTTAGAATGTTCCATGTTGGAATATTTTGCACACCTCTAGCTCTCATTGCCCGAAAGTCTCTTAGAATAGGGATGTATACACATGCTAATGTTCTGCTTATGAAATAAACAGAATGTATTTGTGGAGATCTGATGGGAAGGCTCCTGTGACTGGAATATAGAAACCAAAGGACACCATTTGTTCAACAGGAACAGAGGCAGTAGAAAGAGAGGAGGAATTGTACTGTATATTGAAAATATGAATAAAGTTTATGATACTGTAGATAGCTTCTACTTTAAAATAAGTAGAATGAATAAGTGAATATTATTGGGATCTACTACTACCAAGGAAAAGATGTAAATGATGCTTTCCAAAAGGAAATTGCAGATTTTCCAAAAAGACTTTAGTAGTGATGGGAGGCTTTGATTATCCCAGTATCTGTTGGAGACAAACACTGCAAAGTGTGACCTTCCAGAAAATCCCTGATTCGTTTATCTGACAACTTTCTCCTTCAGAGTATGGAGAAAAGCACAAGACGGTCAGGTTCTTTCAACAGAAGTGTTCTTCCCCAATCACAGGAAGTAATAAATTCACTTCCTTCTGACTTTGTTAGGCCCCCATCTCAAGTGTTGTGCCAATTCTGGGCATATGAGTTTTAAGGAGGATTTGGACAAACTGGAATAATTTCCGAGGCTGACAGTCAGAATGATCTGAAGGCTAGAAGTTAAGTCCTTTGGCAAGACAGCGAATGAATTGAGAAATCTGAGAGGAATATAATAGTACTGGTCAAATAGCTAAAAGAATGTCATTCTTCTCTCATTCCAGAGTATAGTCTGCAGAAAAGCAGATTTAAGTTTGTGGTTGTTGAGTTGTTCACTTGTTTCCATCACTTTGTGAGCTAACAGACATTATTTTGCCACCAGTGTGTATGTCAGTAACTGTTTCTTCGAGTTCCGGTAAGCTCCTGCTTCTACCATCAATGATATTATCTAGCCACTGTTTTGGTTGACCTCTTTTTTGATTGGCTTTGATTTTTCCAAGCATCAGGGTCTTCTCCAGTCACTCTTGCCTTTGCATGATGTATCCAAAATATTTGTATTTTAACTTCATTCCAGGGAGCAGCCTGGTTTCATTTCATTTAGTATTGATTTTTTTTTCTTCTTGTGGTCCAAGGTATTCTCAACAGTTTTCTCTAGCACTACAGTTCAAAGGCATCCATCTTATTTTGTACAGTCTTTCTGATGATCCAGCTTTCACAGCTATATGTGAAAGCTGAGAAAATTGTGGCCTTGACAATATGTACTTTTATAGTCAATGTGATTAAGTTACAGGGAGTTAGATTTCAGCTGTATGCTAGGAAGAACTTCCTAAGGGTAAGAGTTTGACAGTGGAGCCAAGGATCCAGAGTGGTGGTAGACTTCCCTTTATTGCATATGTTCAACAGAGGCTGGACAACCATCAGTCAGGGATGCTTTAATTTGGATTCCTGCCCTGAGCAAGGGTTTGGACTCAGCAACCCAGATGACCCTCCCAACTATGATTCTCTGATCCATCCTCCACTTTGCTAGGTGGGCACTATGATGATGAACAGTAGAGTTTTAGTCAAGGACACCACTGTTCTATGGAGGAGATGGTGAGGGCCCATTGCCACCTCCTTCATGAACCAGGCACTCAGTGCTCCCTACCTCCCTGCATCGAATGTTGGTGGGAGAATAGCCATCATGTATTTGGAGGACACCCAACTTAGCTGAATTATTTGCTCCCTTAACAGTGTTCCAACTAAAGCTATTCTGCCCAATCTCAGCCACAGTGTCTTGGGGATATGTGTGGGCCAGTGAGATGAAGCTGCGTGTGTCAGCTGCCTTGTGGCTGCTGCTTTGGGAGAAAGTACAAGACGATCAAGCCAGACTCCTTGTTTATAGGCAGTTTTAGGTTCTGCCATTTGCAAATCCAGCTCTATTGCTGAGAAGAATCCTGGTTTGTAGGAGCAGCTACAGCAGAAGGGAAACTTTTTCTAGAAGGATATCTCAGCGCCGCTGCAAAAATATAAACAAATCCATTTTAGGATCATGTTATATAGCTTATTTTAATTCCACCCGTGAACTGAAGATGGCAAGTGAGATTTTAGCACCTACACAGAGCAGTGCTGAACTTTGTCCAGCTGGCAGGCCAACTACACAAATTTGTATTGAGTGTCAGTCAGCTCAACACTGTTCTTATGCTTGCCTTGCCATTATTGAAAAATAGTGGACTCATTTCTCTAAGAGGAGAGACATGGAAGAATGCTGTTGCCATTTTTTGAAGAAGTGTGGCTATGGAATTCTTGGTCCTCTCTGACCTTCGCGCTGATGGTGTTACCTAGTCAGGAAATGAAATGCCTGCAAGCAAACAACCAAGCTCAGAAAGCACCAAGAACTCTACAGTTTGACCCTGAGCTATAGATATTATCTTCTATTGGAAGTGTTTCTATGTCCAGAATGCCTTAAATACAGTAATGTTCATAGTTGCATCTGTACATTTATGTCCCCCCTTTAAGGCTGTAGATGAGAGTTGTCCATGAGCAAGATAAGTGGCCATTTGTAAACCAATACACAGAAGGCAACTTGAATTCATTATCTGCTTGCTGAACAAGTTTTCGTTTTATTCAAATATTTTGAAGACTAAGTATTATCAGTTGAGGCTGATGGAAATGGAAGGTTTCATTTGAAGCAAAGCTCTTGACAGGGGAGCTTGGCAAGTGTTCTAAAATGTTGATTTTAGTATTCTATTTTTTCCTTTGTGAAGGGTTCACCAGTAAAGCCTACAAACAACCGAGAGTTTCCTAGGTCAGAAGATGCAAGAAAATACTTCCATCAAAATAGGTAAGAACCTTTATTTCTTAATAGACAGAGTTTAATAACCTGCGGGGATAGCCTAAACTTCATGTATAACATAGAATTCCCAGCTCGCATTTTTAAGATACAAACCCCAAATTAGTGTTACTCAGGAGCAGAATGCATGCATCATATTGTAGAGATCCTAATTCATTGTGAAACTAATTGTGAAGTTCCTTCCACTCTGTGCATTGCATCTCTCCATTTCTTATCTTTACAAATACTACATCTAGCCTCTTTTATTGGTAGCTGTGGTTAGAAATGGGGTTGAAAGTAGATATGTGCTAAAGTGGGCTATTTGTTTAAAATATTTATATTCTGTTTGTCATGCACTAGATCCCCTGGCAGCGTGCACCATTAAAAAAAAGTCAACTGTAGTATAGTGCATAAATACAAATCAGCAGCCAATACACTTCTTTCAACAACAGGAGTCAACAGCTGAGGTCAGATGGACATACAGCAACTTTATCACTGCCTTCTCCACCGGCTCTGCTTATCTGACCATGGATAAAGGCAGCCCTCTATAGAGCCCAGAAATCACTATGGTGGGGCAACGATGGAGGTGTCACCATGGCTAAACTGATGGCTTTTTGTCCAGGAACAGAGACACTGCTATATCAACTGATAAATACACACCTTGTCACCCTAGATCAATGTTTCTCAAACTTGACAACTTTAAGACGGGTGGACTTCAACTCCCAGAATTCCCCCGCCAGCTGGCTGGGGGATTTTGGGAGTTGAAGTTCACCCGGCTTTAAATTGTTAAGTTTTAGAAAAAATTATTTAGGGGGGTAAGGGGGTGTTTTTTT